TACATATACATATATATATAAATACGTATATATACGTATACTACGCTAGTACATTTGATTCACTAGTCGCATTTATATAATAGTGTGACAAACTATGGAACGCCTCGCATGTCCCAGGATGTTTTGCCGGTTGGTACGAATTCAACACTGATAGCCCCATTCACATGTAACCCGCCGAATATTGTTCAATGCGCTATAGTGATAGCCGCGATGCAACCTAGGATAGGCAGTTCCCAGCATTAAAGTATTGGAAACAACCAACACTCACACGTACATGGCTGATATATTATTGCACATCCCGGAAACAAACTGATAATTTCACCGACAGATGGTGGCGATGGAGAAGATTAGTTCAACTCGACGATCTGGTACTTTCAGCGACAGATAGTGATCAAGAAGATAAAGCCGCGGAACAGCTGTGGCAATTCTCGTCTGTAATTGAATGTGCTCAAGAGGTGTGCCGGCCATATGAAATAAACAACTCCGTCGTCACCTGAGACGACTTCATTTATTAGTCTGCTCATTGTCGACGAAGCTAAACAAACAATATCTCGACAGACGGTATTGAATAACCTAGAAGTCGAGTAACAGTTGTGGCACTGCAGCCTCTAAATGACATGGCTCAACAAGCGTGTCTCCTTCCGCAGCCGCGTTGGCCACTGAACGGTGTATAGCTTCTGTGTGGATACAATAGCGGATGGAACCGTTAGTGTAGGCAATTTGACCATGCACGCTTTCGAGAGGAGATTGTGTGTCGCGGCATATATATAACCATACATACATGCATGCTTACATACATACATACATACATACATGCATGCATGCATACATACATACATACATACATACATACATACATACATAAACGTTGTGTACTCTATAATCCACGTTCAGTTCAGTGCTTAGAAGTGAGTACAACTGGCAGTCGTTCAAGGTGTAGAAATACTACCAGATACACTAGACGTTAGACACTACTAGCTATACTAGACACTACTAGGTAAGCTAGAAAGTACTAGCTCTCCCAGTTGCTACTAAATACACTAGACACCACTAGCTATACCACCGGATACTGTAGGTAACGTCATACCGGCAGCGCATTCGTTGATCCCTTGCGTTCTATGAATGACATCTGCTGAGCCTTCGACAACAAAAGTACCACAGCTATGGAGAAACAACAACAGTATCATATCTACTGAAACTATCCGCAACCAACTACCACGTGGCAGGAGGGTAGGTTCTTAGCATACATACCAGACACGAAGAGCCTCAAGAGTTCGGCCGTCATCTGCTGCGCTTCGCTCGACACTGTAGGCAGCGTGAGGAACGTGAGCATTTACATTAGATACTGACTGTACTGACAATCAATATACATTGAATGCTGACTGTACTGACAATCAATATACATTAAATACTGACTGTACTGACAATCAATATACATTAAATACTGACTGTGCTGACAATCAATGTACATTAAATACTGACTGTACTGACAATAAATATACATTAAATACTGACTGTACTGACAATAAATATACATTAAATACTGACTGTGCTGACAATCAATGTACATTAAATACTGCCTGTACCGACAATCAATGTACATTAAATACTGACTGTACTGACAATCAGTATACATTAAACACTGACTGTACTGACAATCAATTTACACTAAATACTGACTGTACTGAATTTACATTAAATACTGATTGTACTGACAATCAATTTACATTGAATGCTGACTGTACTCTGACAATCAAGCTGTGGTGTGTGTGTACCCATAACTGAACAAACGACATATTTAAGCCTTGCTGTCAGGTAGTTAAGGACTTTGCAATGGAGCCATGAGTGCATCAAGCACATCAACAGCTGACGCCATGTTGTAAGTCCCACGCACACTCGATTTGTACTGTAAAGCATACGGAGACGCACTGACCTCTTGTTTTATCTTGCTTGAACCGCAGTTCGAGCAATTTTTGTATTGTCTTCTGTGATATGGGTTCCAAGGAGATAGTGTGAATATTAGCATAGTATGGATACTGAACTGAGAATACTGGGCTAGTATGGATACTATACATCGAATATTAGCACATCATGGTAAACTATAGATATTATTTAGGTTAATATACATACTATACAATGAATAATAGCACCCTATAGATACTAAAATAAGCGTAGTTAGTTAGTATATATACTGTACAATGAATGTTCGCATAATATGGATACCAAACAATAAGTACTGGCATAGCATGGGTACTAAATAATGAATATTAATATAGTATGGATACTAAGCAATGGATATTCACATAGTATGGATACTAAGGAACATTCATGTGCGTGCACTATAAACGGTAAGAACCATATTCAAACATATTATATACAAATAGAACATACGTGTATACATGACAATGTTATATATTGGGGGTACCATGAACGGCGATAACTACATTCAAACATGATAGATACAAGTATAACATATGCATACCAAACATATTATATACAAATAGAACATACGTGTATAGATTACAATGTTGTATAATGGGGGCACTATGAACGGCGATAACTACATTCAAACATGATAGATACAAATATAACATATGCATCTCAAACATATTATATACAAATAGAACATACGTGTATAGATTACAATGTTATATAATGGGGGAACCATGAACGGTGATAACTACATTCAAACATGATATATACAAATATAACATATGTATATACATGACATTGTTATATGATAGAAGAGTATTTCGACCGACTTACTGGTTTGAAGTGGGTAGGATCATCAGCCATTGTACAGTACAGTCTACGTATAACTCTCAACCTAATTCGATTAGCTTATCGAGCTGCAGTTGTACTATATTTACCTATAAACTCTCCGGTTACAGGACACCGATACAACCCATTATGTGTGCATTCAACTACAATGTGTATTCATGTACGCTGCGTGTATTTATATACAATGGACACTGTACTGTCCACAACTAACCATAAATATATCAATTGCAACAATATTTATCTTCCACGATTTGACTAAATATTTATGTGTTTATAGGCTATATAGTCGTTATAGGCTATAAGGTCATAGCCTATGAATACATGTATTTATAGGCTATATAGCTTCTGAAAATGGAACGGAAGGCTATGCTATAAATATGTATTTAGTATGTAATAACCGGTGTAAATACATACACGTAACATACATATTCATCTTGGGTGTGAAAGCGCGCGCTTTTCCTAACATTTATGTACAATTCATTGGCTGCGTGTACCAGTTGGCTACACTTTTTTTAGAATACATGAAGTACGTAAGGTTTCACTCTCAGAAGGGCTATGAATATTAAGTACTATAGTTGTATACATTTTATTTTTGTATATGTACACACGTAACTTAAAGATAAGTGTGTATTCAACTCATATGTTATAAATAAATAGTATGTATGTAGCATTGTAGATACATATATAGATAGAAAGCCGTAATACTGATGTGCAGTAATACACTCTACTTATCCCTTTCCACACAATAGTACATGTTACTTACTGAACTATGCTGTACGTAAACGGAGGTGATCTCTTCGACTGTGTGCAAAGCGTCGAACGGCTTTTGCAGTTCGAAGCCCAGTCAATTCAACGTCCTCAATCGCACTCGAAACCCATCATCACACTCATAATAGACAACCAATGCTTGGAGTCAATAAGCCTTATACCGGCAGCATACAACCTACAGCTCAGATGTGTGCTATTGCCTCGGTCGCGCAGACACCTGTTGCCGTATGTGCAGCGGCACACGGGTACTACACACTACATTGAATATCGTAACACGGATCCCGAGTCTTTCACGGAACCATGCCTGGACTTCATGGAAGGGCCATATATGCACAGTGATCCTATTGATAAGAATAAAGACCAAGATGAGCTCACTGAGGAGTGTAAAGAGAAGCTGGATGCTGCGATACGGGCGCAATTAGGCAGTGCTGGGGGTGGCTTCGTATGCATGCTGACGTCGAGTATTAGTAAGCGTATCGGTTCGTTATATATTGTTGTGCTTACTCTTGTATATGGTGTGTGAGTGTAATGCTGTGTATGGTGTAATACTGACATCGAGTACTAGTAAGTAGCATTATGTGATGTTGTGTTTAATCTTGTATAAGGTGTGTGAGTGTAATGCTGTGCATGGTGTAATGCTGACGTCGAGTACTATTAAATAGCATTATATGTTGTTGTGTTTAATCTTGTATAAGGTGTGTGGGTGTAATGCTGTGTATGGTGTAATGCTGACATCGAGTACTAGTAAGTAGCATTATTTGCTGTTGTGTTTAATCTTGTATATGGTGTGTGGGTGTAATGCTGTGTAAGGTGTAATGCTGACGTCAAGTACTACTAAGTGTATCGGATCGTTATACGTTGTAGTGTTTAGTCTTGTATAAGGTGTGTGGATGGGTGTAATACTGTGTATGGTCGTGTACATTTAATGGGTTGTGAGGCGTGTTTGGTGTTATGTGAGGAGTGTGTGTTTGATGATTTTCGACGTGTGTATATTCGCGGTGTGTAAGCAGAGTATGTCCTGTGTACGCTATACAGTACGTGTATGTTCAGTCTTATGCTCAATGTAATGGTCAACTGATACCGTGACCAAAGGCTTGTTCTCTAATCCCATCTGGATGTTTGTGCGAAGGATCACTGTTCAGCTGTCTCAGTTTGATGTACATATTCACACTGAAAAGTGGGCTTAAAAGTACCGAACTTTTATTGGCAGGCCGCCGAGGTAGCCGGATATGTATAGGCAATGCAAAATGCAGACTTTTATGTTCGCAGATAAGGAAGCATATGCACGTTTACCCCGTCAATGGGTTAGATCAAACTGTATCTGTACGTGCAGATATATAGGCACCTCGCCAATATAT